GATTAAAGGCATGAGTTGAATTTGAAGGAGATCTTAAATTAAAAGCCACCCTGGGCTATATAGCAAGATCTTGGCACAAACAAAATAATTTTGTTTGCTTGTTTTTTGAGACAAGGTTTCTCTATGAAGCAGTCCTGGCTGTTCTGAACCCGATTTGTAGACTAGGCTGGCCTCGAACTCACTGAGATCCACCTGCTTCTGCCTCCCAAGTGCTGGGATTAAAGGTGTGTGCTACCATGGCCCAGCTGGTGTCTTCCATTTTAAAATAAGATTTATTTTATTATTTATGTGTATATGTGTGTGTTTCTATGGTATGCACACATTTGTGTAAATCCTTGGATGGCAGAAGTGGTCATTGGGTCCCCAGGAGCTGGAGTCACAGGCGGTTATGAATTGCTTTATGTGGGTGCCAGAAACTGTACCCAACTCGGGTCCTCTGCAAGAAGTCTTAATGGGTGAGTCATCTTTCTAGTCCATGGTTTATTCTGTTTGCTGAGATATTAATCTGACCATTCAAGGGCACAGTTTATTTCTTTGCTGAGATATTGATCTGATATTTCAAGGGTTTATTTATTCAGGTCATGTACTCAGCTGTGTAGGCACAGGGTTAGACTCAGAGGACATAAAAGTAAGAGTAGTAGGCAGTATTACAGGCTAGAAATGCTCTGCTCTACAGCACAGCCACAGTGGTATAATTAGGACACAAGGAATTCTTATCCAAAAATGATTATTCACTTTATACCAAGGTGAAGTTAAAAGGAGACCAACCAGTGCCTTAATATTATAATATTATTTATTAACATAATATTATATAATAGCATTATTTAAGGGTGTGGAGGGAGGAAGGCAGGAGGCTGTGAGTTCCAGAGTCTGGATTAATTTTAGAGTGAGTGTGTGAAGGGAAACTGTGTAACCAGGCCATACTGTAGTGAAGTGTGTCACCTCTCTGTCTCTCTCTCTCTGTCTCTGTCTCTGACTCTGTCTCTCTCTCTCTCTCTCTCTCTCTCACACACACACACACAGAGCCAGAGACCAGTGTTCTTTACAAATTCTAACTATGGAGCTCTGTTTTGAGGCAAGGTCTTATGTAGGTTGAGGTGACTTCAAGCTTCCCAGTTGCTGGGGCAACCTGGAACTCTTCATCCCCTCCTACCTCCCAAGAGCAACCATTGCTGGTATAAGTCACCACTTGAGCCACAGTGATTGTTTCCTATGACTTACAGAGTTGTTTTTTATGAGAAGATTTTCCATCTGTTGCATGGCTTCAGTCACAAGACTATCCAGGCACACTCGGAGCATCTTGAATTATTGGGACTATCAAACAGTGTGCAGTAAGGACTGAAGTTGCTGGGTTAGGGTGGTTTCCTTCTTAGAACATATGGAACAGATCAAAGGGGAACTTGTACCTCAAACACAATCTTTGTGATCAATCCATAAATACGCTTCTGAATGGAGGTTTGAGGTTCAGTTCACAGAAACTGTTCCTTCCAGCTGCCAGAGAGCCTAAGATTCCATTCCTGGGTGACTCTCCTTCTTTGAACAGCCCACACAACACAGAACACCAGACAGGCCCTCATCAGTTCTTTCCTGTGCCCCTGAATACCGCTGAGGGTTAAACCCCTTACAGAAACATTTCTTGACTTCACATCAGGTGCAATTGAAACTGTGGTGATAGACAAGTAAGAGTAATAAGCAAGGCCACTGTGTACAGGCTAGAAATATCCTGCCTGGGACAGCATGATGGCCAAGATGACATTGGTTAGGAGCCAACACCTTTTCTCCTAGGAATAATTGCTCACCTGACACCAGGGTGAAGTTAAAGTAAGACAGGCTAGAACACATGATAGCAAGAGCTCTTGTGTCTATGGCTTGTGTCCCAATATTCTATTGTAATGGTACCAATGGGTGTGGAGTTGGGGGGACCAGGAGTCTGTGAGTTCCAGAGTCTGGATTACCTTGCAGAATGAGTATTTGTAGGCACACTGCACAGCCATGCCATACTGTATTGGTGTGTCACATGACACACATACAGCCAGAGACTAAGTTTCTTCCTTTCTTGAAAAACCATTTTGTTTAAGTAAACATCTACAATTTCCAGGTTCTCACTATGTAGCTCTGGCTAGCCGGAAACTGACTATGTAGAACCTGTAGCAACATTCTAGCCTCTGCATCTAAAAGCTGGCTGGCTTCTGGTGTTTCCTTTGTGGTCTAGCCTTTTCTTCTAGGTCAGTTAATGTTGGACCCCCTTGAATTCATTCATTCATTCATTCATTCATTCATTCACTCATTCACTCAGTAAGACTTGTCAGGGCTTGCTTTTAATTGCAGCTGTGGAGGTGGGGATTGAAGCCAGGGCCTTGGCCATGCTAGGCCAGCTCTTCCCCATGGAGCTATATCTCCTGCTGAAGCATTCAGTGGACTGGGAACACACAGGAAGCATCTTCCAGGTGCTGAAGGTACAGCAGTAAGCCAAGCAGGAGCACTCACCTTTTGGAGCTTACACAGGTAGAGTGTGCCACAAAAGAGCGATTTACAGTAAGAAGGTCAGGTTTTCGGTGAGTCCTATGGGAGGAAGGCAAGGCCCCGGAAGTATGGGACATAGCAGAACTGGGTACTTTATAAAGATGTGATGACCAAGGAATGCATTCCTGATCTGAGGATGTGTGAGCAGACAGATGACTAAGGAAGCTTCTGCAGGTTGAGACATCAGCATCAGGCCAAGCCCTAAAGGGGGACTGAGGAAACCAGTGTGACTGGAACACAGTCAGGGGATGGGGCAGGGGAGACCTGTGATGCTCTGGAAGCTACAGGGCTGCACTTTGAACTTTAGTCTGCTTAATGCCCTTCAGAATTTTTGTTTGTGTGTTCTGAGGCAGGCTGTCATGTAGTTCAGTCTGGCCGGGAGCTCACGGATCCTCTTGTCTCCACCTCCCAAGTGCGGTGGTCACAGGAATATGATACTTTACCTGGCCTTTTGAAGCTTGTTTTTGTTATCATTGTGGTTATTTGAGATGGGGTCTTGTTATGTAGCCTTGGCTGGCCTGGAACTCACTATGAGATCAGGCTGGCCTTGGAACTGACAGAGATCTGTCCGCCACCGCCTCCTGAGAACTGGGGTTAAAGGCATGTGCTGCTACACCTGGCCTTTTTGAAGTTCTGACATAGTCCTCCAAAATAGATACCTTGAAATTCATTTTGGTTGGTGAGAGTGTGAACTGTGTGGTGTTTGTAGGGTTTGTAGAGGAGTTGAGATATGTGTGGAGGAAGACGTGGTGTGTGCAGGGTTTGGATCTTTGAGGAACTGGACAGGCGGGGTGTGGTATGGGGGGATCAGAGGCATGGGGGTTGTGTTTGGGGTATGTAGAAGGGTAGAGAGGTGATGCATCATGGGGTATGTATGGGGAGGGTGTATGGAGAAGGATACTTATTTTTTTTTTCTGAGACAGAGTTTCTCTGTGTAACTCTGGCTATCTTAGAATAAGCTCTGTGAACCGGCTAGCTTCAAACCCACAGAGATCCTCCTGCCTCTGTCTCATAAGAGCTGGGATTAAAGGAGTGTATTACCTGGAGAGGGGTACTTTGAAGGTTTGTGGATAGGAATGGGGGAGTGTTGTGTAGATGTTTGGAGTGGTGATGAGAAGTGGAGGAGTGGACAGAGAGAGGTCTGGGAAGAAGAAAGGAGAAGTCACCAGCCAGATACAGAGGGGGCAGGGCATGTAGGAGGAGAGGTAAAAGCAACTAGTCATATGGCATCGTGTAGGTAAATAGAACTGAGTTCATTTGAGTTATGAGAGCTAGTGGGACAAGCCTAAGCTATAGGCCGAACTTTTATAATTAATAAGTCTGTGTGTGTGTGTGTGTGTGTGAGAGAGAGAGAGAGAGAGAGGGAGAGAGAGAGAGAGAGAGAGCGAGAGAGAGCAAGAGAGAGCTGGTAGCCCAAAGAAAAATCTGCCTATATTGGGGGGAGTTTGTGTAAAATTGGGTATGTGGATGGTGTGGAGTTGTTGGGTTGTATGAAGGGGGTTTGTGTGTATGAAGGGAGTGGGTGGGTTGCAGGAATTATGGGGTATGTGGAAGAATGGCAGGTTGTATGATGGGGGTCTGTTCTATGTGTGGTATTGGAAGAAGTGGTGTGTTACTGTTGGATAGATGGGTGTGTGTGGTGTGTGTGTGTATTTGGAGGGTTGGAAGGTGGATGGGAAGTGAATGTAGTATGTGGGGAGTGGAAGAATGGTGGGTTGTGTAGAGGACTGGAGTATTTGGTGGGTTGCAAGGGTGGGGGTCATTTAGGCCCCATTTAGGTATGTGAGATGTGGGGTATTTGAAGTGTTGAAAGGCCTATGTTAGGGGAGATGGAAGGATGGTGGGGTATGGATGGGTGGGTTTTTATGGGTTGACGGGATGTTTGGGGCATGTGGAAGGATAATGGATTTTATGGTAAAGGCATGTGTGCCTTTTGAGGAGGGGTCAGCTTGTGGTGGAGTGTGTGGGTGAGGCTGGGGTTGGGATAGGGTGGTTGCAGCTCTTGAGGGGAGGTGAAGATGTGTGGGATTTGCAGAGGGGTTAGGTTGTGTATGTGTGTGTTCAGCGTGTGATGTACTTGTGTGTGAAGTGTTTCGTGGGGGTTGGTGAAGAGGGATGCTGTAGGGATGTGGAGGGGTTTGTGGAGAGTTCAAGTGTGGTGTTGTGTGTGGGCTCTGGGGACCAGACGGGCCGTTTGGACCACTGGAGAAGAGCAGGGGTTGTGTATGGGCTGGTGGAAGGTTGGAGACATGGTTCGTTTTTTATGGATCGTGTGGAGAGTTTGCTGCTTAGAAATCTGGAAGGTTTGTGCTTGTGGGTAGGTGGTGGGCCTCCCCTCATGCCTCCCCAAACCTCCCTCTTCTCCTTCATCCCCACTCCTGCAGGGGCCTGTCCCTCCTTTTCTCTTCCTCCTCCTGGTCTACCAAGCCGCCTGCCCGCCCTTCGCCCCTCCCCTTTGTACCCCCCCCCCGCCCCCCGCGTGGTGCCAGCGGGTAACTTATTGTTGCCTCACTCCAGAGCCTTCCAGCACAACAGGGAGGATGGCTCCCATGATGCTGCCGCTGGTGCTGTTGCTCCTGGCTGGGGACTTTGAAGGTGACACTCAAATGGGTCGGGTGTCTAGACTGGGGAAGGGGGACCAGCTCAGAGATGACAGCGCTGGCTCTGGGCTTGAGCTGCAGATGTGGATGTGTGCCGTTACTGGCGGTTCTGCCGGCTGGGCCCCAGTGGGAATGGAAGCTGAATGTGGGGCCAGCACCCCTGTAGCTCCAGTTGGTGCTTTGATCCCAGCTCCTTCTGGGTATCACCCCCCCGCCATCTGCTCTTCCTCTCTTAAACAGAGTTTCTGGCCTCCAGATAGGCAGTTGGATTTGTAACCACCGCCCAGTTGAGCCTGACAGGAGGTGTGTGGACGTGGGAATGCCCCTGAGACCTTCCTCTGGATGGACTTGACGTTTATGGGAAAGCGGAGTTGAAATCCCAATATTTACACTAAATTTTGTGTTTATTGAGCTTGATATACTGGCTCATGTCTGTAATCCTAGCACTTAGGAAGCAGAGGCAAGAGGTTTATGCTTCCAAGGCCAGCTCCTACAACATAGCCTGTTAAGATCAGCTTGGGTTTTGTGAGCCCCTGTCTCAAAAGTTAACTCCAAGTTTTGTGCTTATCTGGAAAAAAAATATCTTGAATACACAGACAAAAGTTATCTTACACCGTTAATTACTTCCCTGACACTTGTAACTTCAAAATCAGTTTTCAAGAAACTTTATAGGAACAGAACCAAATGTTCTGTGTGTTTTTTAGAAATCCCATGGAGAGCAGGGTGGTGGTGGTGAACACCTTTAATCCTAGCGCTGAGGAGGCAGAGGCAGGTTATCTATGAGTTGGAGGCCAGTCAGTTATACAAAGCAAGTTCTGGAACAGCCAGAGCTGCTGCACAGAGAAGCCCTGTCTCAAAAAACAAAAAAACAAACCAAACATAAAAGAAGTCCCAGGAAGAAATAATGGAAGTTCTTTTTAAAGAGACAGGGAGAGGCATATCAGAAGGGAAGGAAAGTCATGGATAAAACTCAAACCTATGGTTTTGGTCTCTCTCTCTCTCTGTGTGTGTGGTTTTTTGTTTTTTGTTTTTTTTTTTTTTTGGTTTGCTTTTGAGACAGGATTTCTTTGTAGCTTTTGGAGCTTGTCCTGGAACTTGCTCTGTAGACCAGGCTGGCCTCAAACTCAAGAGATCCATCTGCCTCTGCCTCCCAAGTGCTGGGATTAAAGGTGTGCACCACCACTGGTGCATGAGTGTGTGTGCACATTGCTGTGCGTGTATGATGTAGGCATATAGAGTCTAGAGGTCAACACTGGTTGTCTTGTATTTCTCTCCATCTTACTCTTGAGACAGGGTCTCTTGATGAACCTGGTGCTAGCCATTTCTGCTAGACTGGCTGGCCAGAAATTCTTGATATCTGTCTGCCTCTGCCTCCCAGTGCTGGGGCTTGCAGACCAAAGTCATCATCCCCAGTCATGGATGATGAGGACTGGAACCCAGTTCACAGCAAGCACTTCATTCACTGAGCCATCTCCTCAGCCCACAAACTGTTCCAGCCCCCACTCCCCCTGCCCTGCCCCCCCCATGGGTGTTTTACTTGTGTGCAGATGCACTTGTCTGAAAATGCTCATATGGGTTGCTAGAGGTTGGCTTAGGGTACCATCTTACTTACAAACCGGGTTTTAAGGATCTTTACGATCAACTTACCATCGTCATTTATGCATGTCAGTGTTTTCTCTTTGCAGTCTCCTCCAACTCTTTGGACTTTCCCAACTCTCACATAGTTCAGCCTTCAGAATTCAGAACAGTAAGTATGAACTACTGGCACTGTTTCTTCTCATACAGGGAAGAAGTGCTGAACCATTTTCAGGCCAAACTTACAGCTTTAGAAACCGTGGCACGTGCCTTTGATCCCAGCACTCAGGAGGCAGAGGCAGGTGGATCTCTGTGAGTTTGAGACCAGCCTGGTCGACAAGAGCTAGTTCCAGGATAGGCTCCAAAGCTACACAGGGAGACACTATCTGGAAACAAACAAACAAACAAAACAAACACAAAAACGAGAATTGTTCTGTAAGCTCGAATCCCATGCAGGTTCCTTGATATAAATAAATGAAAATATATTTTTCTTTTCTCGAGATCCTCCTGCCTCAGTCCTAGGATTATGGGTATAAACCACTGTGTCAGCTAAGAGTGTACATTTCAGTTGAGAATAGCTCAAGTTTTTGAAGGCCCCGTGATCTGTTTGCTTTAAAAGTTTCTTTTAAAATCCAAATTATTTGAGGCATGATTGTTACTGTGTGTACCAGACAACTTCATGTATTTTTGTTATATAAATTCTGTGGACAGAAATGAAACCCAAATGAGACAGTTTATTGAAGACTACTGTATCAAGGGGTCTGTGACCACCATTTTCATTCTGGTAGAGACTCACTGGCTGGCAGAGGAGTGGCAAAGTGCCAGCGTGAGGAAAGAGTCTTCAGGCGTGGTCCGGTGCAGGCTGTCAGCAAGCGAGGCTTTAGGTAGTGGTGCAAACAATTACACTTGGTTGGTCCTCATCTGGAATCTAGGACCAAAGTTAGGGAAGCTGACAATTATGAATTGAGACCTGGTCCCTTGGGCTGTTAGAAGGATTATTAGGCTTTCTGGACTGGCTGTGGGGGCAGCAGTCTGAGATAATGGGAGGACTGCTCTCTGAGGGTATCTCATAGAAAATGTTTATAACCATTCTCTGCCTAAACAACTTGCATCCGGATAATTGCAGTCTCTCTCAAAACAGTCCCCACAACATAGTCTCCCCTTGCTGGCTGGCTGAGACAGATCTGCTGCATGATATAGAACCTTCAACTGTCCCATTCTCTGAGTGGTTTTGCTTTGTTTTGCAGACTGGGTGCTGTGACCACAGGTGTGCAGCACCGCACCAGGCTTATCGTTCTAGACTCTTGGGGTGGGGTGAGGATGTTGAGGCTCAGATCCAGGACCTGGTGAATGCTAGGCTGTTAAGCATCTAAATTAAGAGGATATTTTCTATAGGGGTGTGGTAGTTTGAAAGAAAATGGCCCCCAAAGGGAGTGGCACTATTAAGAGGTGTGTCTTGTTGGAAGAAGTGTGTCACTGTGGAGGTGGGCTTTGAAGTCTCATACATGCTCAAGCCACCCCCAGTGAGACAGACTACTTCCTGTGGCCTGAAAGATGTAGGACTCTCAGCTATTTCTCCTGCACCAAGTCATGCTGCCACCGTGATGAACCTCTGAACTATAAGGGAGCCACCCCAATGAAATGTTTTCCTAAGCGTTTCTATGGCCATGGTGTCTGTCTCTTCACAGCAATAGAAACCCTAACTTACACAAGGGGTATAACTCAGAGGTTGAGCACTTGCCTGCAGCTCTAGGGTCAATCCTCATCACTGTGTATCCCCAGCCAGAGTTACAGTCCTTGTAACACCCAAGGGTCTCATAGAAACATGAGTAATGAAGTAAAATTATTTGTGTGAGAGCAATATCAAATACTTTAGACAGACTTGCTAAAAGACATTGCTTTAAAAAAAAAAAAAAGCTTCTGGGTATGGTGTGAACTCTTTCAATTCCAGCACATAGGAGGGCAGAGGCAGGTAAATCTTTGAGGCCAGCCTGGTTTTACATAGCAAGTTCCAGGCCAATAGTGAAACCCTGTCTCAAAATAAATAACACCTCCCCCACTCCAAACTTGGAATTAGGTAAAAAAAAAAAAAAAAAAAAAAAATGGCAGGGCGGGAGGTTCAAAATGAGGCTTAGTAGATGTTCAAATTCTCACTGTGTTTTTAAGTATTGAGATAAGGTCTCATAGCCCAGGCTGGCTTCAACTGCATAATATAATTGAGTATGATCCTCCTTCTGCCTTCCAAGTGCTAGGATTAGTTCAAATGGTACCATATTGTATCATGAGATAGTCCTTCTCTGGCACTGACCACACCCATTGGGGGGTGGAGCCATGGGCGGAAGTGACCTGTGGAAGGAGGTCGGAGGGGGCCAGGAAAGGCGCTCTCTTTCTGGCGTGACTCGGACAGGAGAGGATCGGGTTGAATTTCCTGGTTTTCATCTGTCTAGGTTGTAAGTTATTTCTCCCTGAATAAACATCTATTCGGCCTATTTGTTTATCCTGATCCTTATTTACCGCGATAATATTGTGCTCTAGTTTGTTTCATTTTGTTTTTTGAGACAAGATCTAGTTGTGTTCCCCATGCCAGCCAGCACTTACTATGTATCCCAGGCTGGCCTCAAACTGGAGGCAATCTTCTTACCTCAGCCTCTGAAGTATTGTAATTACTGGTTCTGGGGTCATCTTTTTTTTCCTTCTTTTTGTAATTGTATTTTGAAACATTGCATCTGATTTTTATATTACAAACTCATTTTTGGGCTGGGCAGGGGAAAACATAAGTTTATTTAGGATATTTCTATGAAATTTAGGGTAAGTTGGGACATTATCCTCTCTTAGATGTTTTGTAATGTGTGTGTGTCAAGTCTTTCTCTTAATTCTCTACTTTTCTCTTTTGTAGCCAAACTGTGATCATTATGACTATCCAGCATGCCCCAGGAACCTCAACCCTGTGTGTGGAAGCGACCTGAACACTTACGGGAATGAATGTACCATGTGCATGAAAATCAGGTCCAGTATTACAGATTACTTTTAGATTTATTATTATTATTTTATGTATATGAGGGTTTTGCTTGCATGTGTATGCATACGCACAATGTATATATCTGGTATCTACAGAGATCAGAAAAGGGAGTTGGACCCCCGGAGCAGTGGTTACAAATGGTTGTGACTGAAATCAGACTTGGGGTCCTCTGCAAGAGCAACAAGTTCTCTTAGCTTCCAGCCCCAGGTCACATAGTTTCTCAGTTGTGTAGCAGTCCAGTTTTTCTTTTCTTGTCCTGAATTTTGATTGTTGGAGGCAGTAACTCCTTTCTGGGATGTAGAAGTCAAATGTAACTTCAGCTGTTTTGTTTTTTATTTGGGAAGGGGTTTGAGACAGGGGTTCTCTGTATTGCTTTGGAACCTGTCCTGGAACTAGCTCTTGTAGACCAGGCTAGGCTTGTCTCAAACTCACAGAGATTGGCCTGCCTCTGCCTCCTGAGTGCTGGGCCTAAAGGTGTGCACCACCACTGTCTGGCTCTGTTTTGGGTTTTTATACAGACATTTTAAAGATGTAAAATCATTGTTTTGGTCAAAGCTAGACACTAAAGCTTGTGATCAGTGTGCTATATAGAAGTAGACAGGTTACGTCGCCATCTTAATGTGCTCTTTTTCCAAATTAGGAGTGTAGCGTAGACAGAGTAACTCAGCAGTAAAATGTTTGCCTAGAATGTGTGAAGTCCTGGGATCAATCTTTACAGTAGTGGAAAAACATACTGCATATTTGGGGGGCTGGGATATAGCTCCGTGGTAGAGAACTTAGCTAGGGTACAGAAAGCTATTAGTTCAATCCTCAGCACTATACCTACATATGTGCCCACACAAAGAAGACTATAGTTAATAGCTAAATTCTGCAGAATATCACATTTACTTTTAGATTTAGAGGGACACACAGGTGATCTGCACACCCTATATTTACCAGTTGGCAGGTAAGACTTACTTCATATACCTTGGAATATGCTAAGTATTAAATGTATGGTTCCTGACTCCCTTCAAGCAACACACTGCCCAGGTGGCTATAACACATCTGTGTGGGAGAGTACATTCTCGTGTATCAATTTCCATTGAGCAATCTAAGTCTTCTTGAAATGGTTTGTTGGCATTAGAGCCCTTTCTTTACCTTAGGTTTGGATGGGGGCATTGGGGGAGGGGTAAAAAGATCTTTACCCTTTGTGTTTTCTGAATTAACCTTAAAAAGTGACCAAGTAAATGTAGCCCTGAAGGGAATTGGATGCATAATGGACACAGGACTTTAAAAGTGCTAAACAGTTGGCCTGGTTTTAGTGTGGCAGATGCTGATACAGTGTATATGGTTATTCACTTTTCAGGGAGGATGGTAACCCTCTTAAAATCATCAAAGATTCACCTTGCTGATGGGCGATTTACACAAGAGCAGCTGGAGAACACCCTACTCCTGGTAGAATCCCACCCCTTCTTTCTCGCTTTCCTTGTCTCTTTCAATGGTTCCCGTTAATGCACCTTCTCTGAGAGGAGGTGTGGAAGACTTCTAAAACTCCTGCTCTGGGCTTCTGCCCTGTAGTTCACTTTAGTTGAGCCTATAGCCCTGGTGACTTTTGCATTGCTTTACTTACAGGGAATAAAATGAGCATTAAGTTCAATGGATGGTTGGTGTTTTCTGTTGAAAATGCTACTCCCCATCCCTCGGGGAACTGATCTGCTCCATTTCAGGGTTTTCTCACTGAACCTGAGAATTAAATGGACACAGACAGAATAACAAGAGAAAATGCTGCACATTTATCGATGCAGGGTTTTCATGGTGAGAGCCTTCTTTAAGTGACGACTGATGCAGTTAGGGGATTCATGCAGTTTCTACATGTATAAGTATCAGTGGGTGCAAAGTGTGGGTACAACTTAAAAATAACAGGGAAACAAAGAGAAGGTAAAAATAAATGATGAGGAAAGATGGGACTGGGGCAAAAAAATTACGTGGAAGACATGAAAGAGGAAGGAAACCAGGAGGTGGTTCAGGGGGGCTTAGGGGTAGTGGAGGGAGGGGGTAGAGGAAAAGGAGAATCTACTAAAACTTTCTGTTTTGCCCTTTGAGACAGGGTCTCTCTCTGTGGCCTTGGCTGTCCTGGAGCTCACTCTGTAGACCAGGCTGGCCTCAAACTCACTGAGATCAGTCTGCCTCTGCCTCCCAAGTGCTGGGATGAAAGGCATGTATCACCACCCAGCTAAGAGTCTACTAAAACTTTATTTGAAAGTTCCAAAATGATATCTAATACTTTATATGCTATATTTTTGTATGTAATTGATTCATTTATTATTTTTTAACTTAAATTTTTTTCTTATTTTACATATCAATCTCAGTTCTCTCCCTCCCATCCTCCCATGTCCCCTGACCCACCCTCCCATCCCATTCCCCACCCACCCCACAGGGAGGGTGAGGCCTTCCAGGAGGGACCATCAAATCTCCTGAGTCATTTGGAATAGGGCCTAGGCCCTCCCTCCTGCCTCTAGGTTAAGGGAGTATCCCTCCATGAGGAATGTGCTCCCAAAGTCCTTTTGTGCACCAGGGATACATCCTGGTTCCACTGTCAGAGGTCTCTTAGGCTGCCCAGGCTTTCTAGCTGAGACCCGTGTTCAGGGGTTCTGGGTCGGTCCAATGTTGTTTTCCCAGCTATCAGTCTGGGGTCCATGAGCTCCCCATTGTTCAGGTCAGCTGTCTCTGTGGGTTTCTGTAGCCTGGTCTTGACCCCTTTGCTTATCATTCCTCCCTCTCTAAAACTGGACTCCAGGAGTTTGGCTCAGTGTTTAGCTGTGGGTGTCTGCTTCTGTTTCCATCAGCTACTGGATGAGGGTTCTATGATGCATATAAGGTAGTGTTTTTTAAAGGAGTCAAGGGAGGGAAACACACAGACAGATGGTGTTAGAATTAAATACATTTGTGTTAGACAAAGAGTAGTGGCTAGGAAGACAAAAAACACAAATAAAGTTGCTCATATATATAGACTGCCTGTAGCCTCAATTTTTGTCCTTGAATGCTTTTTTTTAGAATAGAATTATTATTATTATTATTATTATTATTTCTCTTGAGACAGAGTTTCATGTACTGAGACACAAGGGGGCAGTGCCTCCCTAACAATCTGTTGCCATCTGGCAGGGCCACAGGCTGCCTGCAGCTCAGGGATGCTCTGTCTGGAAGTCACCTTTCATTTGTAAAGGGCTTCCTTGAAGATGCCACTTCTGTGAATAAAGCTGAGCTGTGACAGGGGTGGGGGGGTGGTGTGTGTGTGTGTGTGTGGGGTAACAGAGGCAAAGTGGAACCATGTTGCCTTCTTGGGTAAGGTTGGGGACAGCCTGTTAGACTGTGGCTGGGAAAGCTGGAGAGGAAGGTTTGAGCTCAGAGGACCAGAGCTGACCCTTGTGAGGGCAAGTTTATGAGGAAGTAGAGTTTTTGTGGACTAACTCTTCTGCTTCACCATCCCTCTTTGGTTCAGCATCTTTCATCCAGGTTAAACAGCCAAATGATGCCTAACAAGATACAATGCTTGCTTAGCTGTGTGGTTTATGAAGTCTTTTGCGCTTTATAAAACACTTCCATATATGTTTTTTGTTTTTTTGTTTTTTGTTTTGTTTTTGTTTTTTGCATGGCTTATGAAGTGTTTTGTGGGGTTTTATGTTTGTTTGTTTTCCAAGACAGGGTTTCTTTGTATTGCTTAGGAGCCTGTTCTGGAACTTGTTCTGTAGACCAGGCTGGTGTTGAACTCATATCCACCTGCCTCTGCTTCTGCCTCTGCCTCCCAAGTGCTGGGATTAAAAGTATGAGCCACTAAAGCCAGGCAGATCTTGTGTTTTATAAAACACTTTAATGTATGGTTTTTGCATGGCTTGTGAAGTTTTTTGTGTTTTATATAATACTTTTATGCATGTTTTTTTTGCCTCCAATCAGTACTGAAGGACCATGTGGCAGGCAGCTCAATGTTAAAGTGTTAGACTAAGAGGTTGCAGAGATGACTCAGCCATTAAGAGCACTGACTACTTTTCTGGAGGACCCTGGTTGAATTCCCAGCAACCACACAGCGGCTCACCTATCTGTAACTCCCTTTTCCAAGGCTTCTGACCCTTCACATAGACAAACATGCATGAAGGCAAAACACCATTGAACATTAAATAAAAATAAATATTTTTAAAAAGGACATTTAAAAAAGTGCCTAATGTACATGAGGCCCTGGGTTTAGTACCTAGAGCACACACACACACACACACACACACACACACACACACACACACACGAATATTTGTGAAACAAAGGACCCCAATGTTTAATAGGGTATGGTGGTCTTTGGATGAGTGAAAATGTCCTTTGTTTTCCAAAAAGATTTATAAGGAAAAAGCTGTCTTTATAAATCACATATTTTCATGAATAACAAGACTAAGCTACATAAAAATAATCTCTCTAAAGGAGGGTTGGGTGTTCTTAATGATGCTTTTCATTCAGACCCTTCTGGGGAAAGGCTGCTTTTTAAGCAGGAGACAGCATTTTGTATGGTTGATTGAAAAGGGCCAGCCCGGGATGAGGGGATGGGTAAAGTGGTGGTTGTACAAGCATGAGCTGAAATCAGGTCCCCAACACTCTGGAAGAGCCAGGTATAGCAGTATATGTCTGTAATCTTAGTGTGGGGGGGGGAGGGGGGGTGGAGAGGTGGGGTGGGGAGTGGAAGCAGGGAGACAGCTGGGGAGCTTTCTGGCCAGCCAGTCTAGCAAAAATAGTGAGCTCCGCTTCCACAAGAAACCTTGCCTAAAAAACAAAACAAAACAAACAAGCAAACAAAAAAACCCACAGAGAGATGGCTGATCTGTGAAGAGCAGTACCTTAGACATGTTTTATTCCTTTAAGCAACATTGTAGTTGATAATGGGTCCGTAAAGTAGTAGATAGTAAGGCTAGGGTTAGCAGTTGGTTTTCTTTCCTGTGCAGATGTGGTTGTACTGGGAAGACTGGGCAGAAGGACATTTGGAAATTTAAGGCTAGCCTGGATAACATAGCAAGTTCCAGGACATCCTGGGTTACACAGTGAACCCTGTTTCAAAAATAAAACAGTCCCACCCTAGATGAGGAACTATTGGCCACCGATGGCTGCTGGGGAAGGGAGACCATCTTCAGGGATGAGGGCCCTGAGAGGTTCCTCATGCTCTAGTCTGTGGATGGTCCCATGACCATAGGCAGCACTGAGTCCACTGGATGGTTCTGTTTTATTTTTTTTTTTTTTTATTTTTAGAGAGCGAGAGCTCCGGAAGTGAGGAGGGAAAAGTGGAGGAGGAACAGGAAGGAATTGGAGGGTGGATTTGATCAATACACATTATGTGCTTGTATGAAATTCTCAAACAATACAAAGTTAAAACAAACAAACAAACAAAACAAACCAAGAAGAAGGATCCTGGTGCATGCTTGAATCCCAGTACTTGAAGGTAGAGGACAGAACAGAAGTTGAAGGCTATCCCTCAGCTGCATGGCAAGCTCGAGGACAGCCTAGGCAACATGAGACCTTGTCTAAAGAAAACAAGAAAAACTGAAAACAAAACAAACTATAAAACAAAACCCAAACCACCAAACTCATCCTTATTTCCGGACAGATATTCCTTCCACAGACCTCAGCTCTCTCTTATGGCTTCCCTGATACATACTGCCTCTGACAATTGCTGGTATCTGGTTTTCATCAATGGGCTTTTGTTGTCATTGTCATTGTTTTCCAGCACTAGGGACTGAACCCAGCGTCCTTCATGCATGTAAGGTAAGGACCCTACCACTGAGCTACACTCCAGATCCACCAGTCCTTTAAGAAGCTGTGATATCTGTTGTGAGATAACTGATTACACGGTTTGAAGATATGTCACTGTGATTGGTTTTATATAAAGCTAAATGACAAATAGCTAGGCAGAAGGACTTTTGGACAGAAAAGAAGGAAAAAAAAGAGTAGCCAGCGAGACGTGGAGAAAGCAAGATGGGCAAAATGGAGATGAGGTAACGAGAGTGTGGAAAAATGTACATATAAAAATATGGGTTAATTTAAGTTATAAGAGCTAGTTATAAGTTATAAGAGCCTAAGCGATAGGCAGAGCTTTCATAATAATAAGTCTTGGGTGCCATTTTATTTATTATTTTTTTGTGAGCTGGCAGCTCAAAGAAAAATCCATCTACAAATATCTCCATAGTCCCCTTTTAACCTGCAGCTATTCCATAGAAAGGCAATCTATTAATTCAAGAATGGTGAATTCCAGGTAAGACTGCACAGTCCTGAGCTATGGCAGGTGTTTTACAGTCTAGACTTAGACTGAGAATCCTGAAGATGGCGCTGCTGGCAGCCTAACTAGCTAATGAAGTGGGCACATGAGTTGAAGCCTTCTTGATAGCTTTACTTTGTGATACAAGTTAAACGAAGGGATAATGCATCCTCTCTTTTGGTCTGGGTTGGAGTTTCTATTGCTGTAGCAAAACACTACAACCAAAAGCAACCTGAAAGGGGTGGGGGAGGCTTTATTTCATCTTACAGCTCACAGTCTACCATCTAGAGATGTCAAGGCAGGAGCAGATGCAGAAACCATGGAAGGTTTGACTAGCTAGCTCTTTGTGGCTTGCTTAGCCTGCTTTCTTATAA